TGATAAGTTTTTATGCACTTGGTTCTAGGCTAGCTTTGGGCTTATTACACCAAAACTCACTACACTTATAAGGTTTCATGGCACATCCCCTCACAGCTCCCTTGCACCCCCGTCACTAAAATTGTAATGGTCAGACAGTAATCGAACTATTTGATCTGGATAAATGCATTTTGGCTTTTATGACTTGTCCTATTTTGAGAAATCAAGTGTGACATGATGTGACACACACTGGCTTTTCTATAGTTAGACTGGAAATATATTTACGATCATTTTTGTCCTATCAGTTCATAAAGACAGTTTCATTTACAGTTTTACTTTTATGTATATGCTTATAACATTGTATCTCAAGGCAGTTATTCTGATTGAAAAGATATTACTTACAAATCATATTAGCATCATTTGAGATAATACACTTAAGTTATATTTCTTGTAAAGGTCTAATATGGTGGAACTGTGGCAACAATTTATACCAAAAATTTCAAACAGGTTTTCCCTACATAAGTAATTAGTACCACATGAAGAAACTGTTCATTTAAGAAAAGATTATTGTGAATTTCATACAATGTAATTTATTAATAAATTGATTCCAAGGGACAACAAAAGTAATACTGCCACATTATTTACTGGAACTAATGACTGACAAAACATAAAAAGGACCAATTTTCTTTTTCGTTCAGGGGTCAAATCAAAGTATTATGTTAAAAATGATTGTGATGATTCACAGATCAAGCCAAACACATTGTTAGAAATTACTGTAATAAAATAAATTAAAGCTAAGATTGACACATGGGCCAAGATAAAACACACTGCTAGGACTGACTGTAATAATTCATACATCAAGACAAAACAATGTTACAATTGACTAATGATTCATACATCAAGATTAAAAATGGTTACAACTTATTAGCATTGGTTTATAGATCAAAACAAAACGTACTGATAGAATTCACCATAATAATTTATAGTTCAAGTTAAAAAAAATATTAGAACTAAGTATAATGATGTACAACCACAAGATGTGTTAAACTGACAGTAACGGTTCAGAGATCAAAAAATATCACAAGTGATTATGATAATTCATAACCAAGATAAAGTTAGGCCTGACTGTAATGATTCATAGATCAAGGAAAAAATTATGATACAACTGGCTAAAACCTTCAGGTTTATCAAACAATGAAGCACAATGGTTCATAGATCAAAACAAAACAATGTTAGAACTAAGTATAATGATGTACAACCACTAGAAATGTTAGAACTGACAGTAACGGTTCAGAGATCAAAATAAAACAATGTTAGAACTAAGTATAATGATGTACAACCACTAGAAATGTTAGAACTGACAGTAACGGTTCAGAGATTAAGGCAAAACAATGTTGGAACTAATTATAATGATGTATAACCACAAGAAATGTTAGAACTGACAGTAACAGTTCAGAGATCAAAACAAAACGAAAAATTTCACAACTGAATATGATAATTCTGAGTCAGTTTTACCTGTATATTTGGCGTATTATATCTGTTACGAGTATTTGAAGACAACTGACTAGATCCTGACTGAGCTGTTGTTGCTGAACCTTGCCAGTTTTGTCCATCAATTTGGTTTTCATCATACTAGAAATCAAAATATTGAAATTATTCAACACTATCTAGGACAGTAACTGATCTTGTTTTTCAGATGTTCTAGACATTCTGGTACCAGAAAGAACTGAATTAGTTAATTTTTAAACAAAATCTAAAAGAAACAACTGATTACCCTAAACTTCAGTTCTTAGTTTTCTTTGAAAGCTAATATACTACATGTTTTTCATTAGAAGATACAGATATGTTTCACATCCAAACTTCCAAGAATGTCTCTAAGTAAAAAGTTCCTGATTTTTTATCCATATAAGCCAGTGTTTATTAAAATGTCTTGAATGCCATCTCAGCTATGAAACATTATGCTGAATAATACATAAATATTTGAGGATGTTATAAGATCTTCAGTCATATCTGAACTGTTAAAACATCAGATGCAATGGCCACCATAATTTTTTTTGTAGCCACACTATTAGCTGACAAGTATTTCATTTAGTCATATTTCTCTATTTACAGCTGCAATATCCCTAACGTTTTACAGAAGACAGAAGAGGTCAAATGGTGGGGGTGTAGGGGGGGGAGAGAAGAAGCCTTTCCAAGACCACAATGGTCAGGAAAAAAATATTCCCACCAAAAATGATTTTCAGCAATTTTGAGAGGCAAAGAAAGCATTTCCTGCCATCTTTTATTCTACTTTGATATCTGGTTTTAGAAAAAAAACTAAAACTAAAAGAAGTAATAACTATGATCATAATCTAGCCTATAAACTTTTGGAAAACATATGAAGTTAAAAACTGTGAGAAATTAATATTTGTCTGACCATAGAAATTAAAAAAAAAATAACACTGCTGTACTGTCAAACACTCAAAACTAACAGACTACTTCCCTTAACATTTTTCACTAACATTAATTCTTCTTTGTTTGAAGTTAAGCACAAAGCTGCACAATGGACTATCTGTGCTCTGTCCACCACGGGTATCGAAACCCGGTTTCTAGCGTTGTAAGTCTGCAGACATACCGCTGTGCCACTGGGAGGAAATTATTCACTGTCAAAAATTTTAAACATCTATATGCCTAAGCTCAAGTCATGAATTGAACTCTTAAAATTACAACTTCTACAAATAACTAACAGCAGATGGAAAATGCTTTCAGATGAAAGAGTCTGTCCAAATCTATCATCTATCTACTGCATAATTTGTCATTTTTGCAATCTTTTACATATTGGTAAAATGGGTTGCAAAGTTAGAAATTTAGAGATTTTGTGAATGCAAAAGACATGATTAATGGTAATATCAATAAGCCAATCTCCAGACATTTGTGTGATTAAAATAACAATCTTTCACATCCCAAACTTGTTTTCTTAAGAAATGTGAACACTAGGAACAGCTCCTTACATATATTAAATAAATACATTTCTTCCATTTAATGTTTTCTTCTGACTAATTGTTATTGTTTTTTCACAGTCATTTACTATGTCCTAAATTTTATACCCACACTCTGTCCTTTTTTTTCTATCTTTTTTTTTGTACCACAGAAAGGGAACTTGTATTTATTTTCCCTTATTTCACATTACCTTGTTATTTTTGATTCTCTTACATTTATTTTATTAATTTATTGTTTATTATTTAACTGGGTTTTATTGTATTGTTTATTTTGCCTACACAACTTTTTAATGTATATGTGATGTACAACATGTTCCATTTCTTTATGCCCCCTAATGGGCCAGTGGATACTTGTTAATTAAAACAGCTACTTTACCACTTTCTGAATTGAATTTAAGCAAAAAGTGTAAATAATAGTATTTGTAAGAAGATCCATAGCAAAAATACAGGAAATATTTTAGCAATGTACAGAAAATTGCAATTAACAGATTTTTATACAACAGACTTTATGTGTGTCTGACATTAAGTTAACCTACATATTGGTTTTTATTCATTGCATGATCAGATAATATTACCAACAGAGTGATTGGCTATATGGAAATTTTAGAATGCTTAGATTTGGCTAAGCACCCCATAAGCTGTCAATCAGGACCGTGAAGTAATATCAAATACATAAAAAGCTGCCGAAATGGTCAAAAAAGGCAAATGATTCAGAAATGTTTTTAGTAATGAGTTTAAGTACTCAAAACTATAAGTTCAGTATGCTTAGGCTATGGACTCTTCATTAGTCTATCATTAAACAGATACAAATTGAAGGAGAGAAAAATAATCTTGACAAATAAAAACTCCCAAATTCCACAGACAAAGATATGTTGCTATTAGTTAGAATAACTTTCTATATGACATAATCATATACAGGTAATGTGATATTAAAAGGCAACAAATCTTTTGGTTCTAAGCCTTGAATTTGGTTTAAGAACACATTGATTTAAAACACTTTTTAAAATTTCATCCTACGAATATATCTACAAGAGTGGTGTAACATTTTCTTAAGTAATTCCAGAGCATACAAAAATCAAGGCAACTGATACCAATACACTTTCACTGTTAATACTGTTTTGAAAATATAGGTGCAGATTAAAGGTTTTTGAATTACTTTTATATATGACTTTGATCAGAATGTCTGATAAGTGTAAAAAGAAAAAAAAAAGTTTTTTATGCAACCCAGATAAAACAAAATAACATTGCAAAAGTGTCAGATTTCAAAACCTCAGGTATACACATGCATAGCCAATTTATGTAATAAAACAAACTTATGTTAAATGAGAGCGAGCAAGCCCATCTTGTTGCTAGTAAGACATCCACAATTTGAGAGCAATCATTGATTCTAAGTATGCAAAGAAATATTTGCAATTGTGTTATTACAAAGTCCTGCTAAAAAGTGATGTTATTTCTTCAACAAATAATGTTGATTCTGCAATATTTTTGAAAACTCTCTGAGGAAAAACAGTACCGATAGTCAGGTTAAAATTCACAAATGTTCTATTGTAGATAAATAAATTTTTTTATTTTTCCAAATACCTTCAATATATCAATAGAAAAAAATTCACATTAATAATTTATCACAAACACCCTTACTGTTGGGCTTAACTATATCAATATAAATATAATAGTACTGTCTGTCCATGTAACTACTTCGCAGGGTGTGGATGAATCTTCACCAAAATTTGTATGGAGATTCATTAGAACGATGTGGGAATATGTAAAAAATTTTTATGGGCATTTTTTACCACTACTTCACCTCTTGTGGATGGATCATTACCAAATTTGGTATGGATGGTCAATGGGTCCATGGTGAGATGCATATAAATTTTCAATTTTGCATTTTGCTGTTTTTATGGGTGTTTTTGCACTTTTATTACTAATTCACCCCCTGTTGATGGGTCTTCACCAAATTTAGTATGAAGGTTTGTTGGGCCCATGGGGAGATACATACAAATTTTCAGTTTTGCATTTTGCAGCTTTTATGGTCGTTTTTGTGTTTTTTACCACTACTTCACCCCTGTTGATGGATCTTAACCAAATTTGGCATGAAGGCTTGTTGGGTCCATGCGGAGATACATACAAATTTTCAGTTTTGCATTTTGCAGCTTTTATGGTCGTTTTTGTGTTTTTTACCACTACTTCACCCCTGTTGATGGATCTTAACCAAATTTGGCATGAAGGCTTGTTGGGTCCATGCGGAGATACATGCAAATTTATGGTTTCACATTTTGTATTGTTCACAGT